AAGTCTGAAGCCGACCGCACGTTCATCCTCACCTGACAAACACAAAGTCACATGACCCACTCTGACAGACTATCAAACAGTATTTAGATGTTTGTTTATATGTTTTCTCTTTTGTTCACCAGATCATCGAAAATGTCTCTCTGGTGGACGTGGATGGTGATCAGCGTCTCATATTTGGTCCTCTCGTTCCTGCTCAGCTCTCGAGTCGTCATGTCGATGAGCTCATTGAGGAGGTTCAGGAACCTCTGATTGGTCGTTTGCATGATCTGACAACCAATAAGATGGGGGCAGTCACGGGGAGAAGAATAACACGATAACACCCTGTAAATAATCACCATAGCCTTAATTATATCTTATTTTATTTAGAGAGCTCCAAATCACAACAGAAGTTGCCTCAAGACTCTTCTGTCCCACACGAGCTTGAGTTTAGCCTTTTGACCCAAACCACAGTTTTTCTTTTCTTTTTGTACCAACCAACTTGGAGGGTTGGTTTGGTTACCCAGCTACGGGGTTTGGTTATGTTAACTGGATTCTGACTGAAACACAATTAAAACAAAACGCACTTACCTGAAAAGTGGAAGAGAGAAGACGATGAACACAAAGAAACGGCATCGACTTGTTACTAAAAGAGCCGATCTCTTAATTCTGCATAAATTCAAACCGTAATTACTGACTGTTTCTTTCTGCTGTAAAGTTGAGTTTTAACTGAGAGTCTGTAGGAAGCATATTCAGAGCAATTATCTGACCAATAATGTGGCTGCTGTGATGTTAATTGACTGTCCAACAATAGCTTCAGTGAGGGTGATTCTGTGGTTTGTGTTGGACATTACTGTAGATTACGACGTAGCAGACACGGTCAAAGTGATGCAGCATTACTGGATAACTTTAGATCTCCACCCTCTTACATAAATATGGTCACGTTTGGCTCAAATTGAGGCATAAAAGCACCTTCTTGTCAGACTTGCTGAGGACGAGTGCTTCTTCTGCGTCTCTCGTCCAGATCATCTGGATTCCCAGCAGGCCAATCTGAGCCGGGAACGCCGACTGGAACTCCAGCAGCTTAAAGGCGGAGTCACTGATGGCCAGGTAAGCCTGACGGATGATAGCATGAAGGGTTCCCCTCACCCCAGCTAGCAGCTCTCCTAACCACACCTCCACATTCCCCTGCAAGTGGAGGTGAGATGCTGATTGATAAAAGGATTCAGTTTAAGGGAAAAGTAACGGGGAACTTACTGGGAGGTGAGATTACCTGTGCCAGCACTGGCTGCCTCAGCTCCACAGTTTCTCCTTCTTGGGACTGGAAACTGATCATCTGGTCGTAGATTTTCTCATTGAAAACAACTCTGTTAACGTTATCGAACAGACTGAGCAGATGAGCCTGACAGACACAGAGCGAGGATTCAATGTCATGATCAGAGGAAAGCAGAAACTCAGCAGCAGGAGCGAAGCTGAAGCATCAGACAGTAAATACAAACCCATCAGATCTGAAACCTGTGAGCTGCTGTGTCATCTGTAAAGTGTGTCACCTGTAAAGTGTGTCACCTGTAAAGTGTGTCACCTGTAAAGTGTGTCACCTGTATAGTGTGTCACCTGTATAGTGTGTCACCTGTAAAGTGTGTCACCTGTATAGTGTGTCACCTGTAAAGTGTGTCACCTGTATAGTGTGTGAGTCAGAGGCTTGGCCCAGAATCTCCAGCAGGGCGGGGTCAGACACGAAGAAAAAACGAGGGAACACCAACCGTTTCTTCTCCAGGTAACCGGACAGAGACTTCTGACAGAGCTCCAACTGCTCCAGCAGGTGAGGGAGCAGCTGCAGGAGGAGGACAGATGGAGCTGATGTGAATCAAGCATTCGTATTTTACCCTCATGGCAGAGTGTTGCTCAGAATCACTCGGGCCGCACCTGGCTGAGCATCTCGTCTCCCACGCAGCACTGCACCACGTTGGGAACCTCGTGCGCTCGCTGCATGATCCTCAGCCACGACTTGTCGATGTTCTGGAAACGTTTGGCCTCCTGCAGGGATTAAAACTCAGACTTCAGATTTCAATATGAAAGAAAAAAGCTCAAATTAAAGTCTTAGTGTTTGCTCCTACCTGAGGCAGCTGCTTGGCGATGTCTCCACCCACAAACACCGCTTCAAGGTAGATCCAGAGGTTTTGAACCGACAGCCACTTCTCGATGATCTCTGAGGTGTTGGAGAGTTTCTGAACCCACAGCTGGATGGAGGGCTTGAACGGAGCGTTGTACCTGCGGAGCAAAGAGCCACAGGTG